ATGCAGTTGAAGGAAAGCATTCAAAGTAAAGAGCAAGCATGATACTATCTAACAAATTTATCATAAAAAGTGATACAAATGACCCTGTTCATTATACGTCCTCTATATGAGTATAGGTTTTTTAAAGTCTCTACAAGAGAAGATTTCGAAGATTTGAATGTCACTGTCTCGTTTTGAGCTGTGTTGAATTTCTTAAGTACGATGAAAACTTCCTTGCTGACATGTTTTAATTTTTTTTTGTTTCTATTGTTTGATTTCCTGGATGCATTAAAAGTGATTATTTAAGTTATGTTTAGGAGAAATCGCTTTGTTTCCGCAGCGTAAAGAATGTTGTTGATCATGATTATCTGCGCAAGGTTGACTATTCTGAACGTTGAACAACTTTTGTAATTGAAGATAAAGTGAAAGACTATGCCGAAAAAACACGAATTCAAAATATAATTATGCCTAACATGCGAAAAAAATCAGAAAAAGTGCAATTTTGTAAACAACATGTTACAAAAACGGCACTTATTGATATAAACTAGCATTTCATTAGAGGCGTATCGTAATTACCTTTTTACAATGCTACAACTAGTTAGCGCGGATACTTGTGCGTTCACCCTTTTGGATATTGTTGATGCTGCTCTTTTTGAAAAAGAGGTTTGAATAACCAAACTCTTGAAACAATAATACGTCATGGTACATATGATCAAAACCTAATATATACAGTATATAAGAATTACAAATTTTTGTTTCTAGCAATAAGTGACGTTTTGTAATATATTGTTTATAAAATTGCATTTTTTTTGATTGTTTGTATTTTGAACATATGCGTTAAATCCATATTCTTTCAATATAATCACTTGCTTCACTGTATATACTATCAATTTGTTCTATTAAGAACAAATCTACATAAGTCTCAGAAAAGTGTATCTCAACTTTAAATTATAATAGCTGGAAGAATCAGCCTCTTGCCATTTTATAGAATATACTCTAAACTATCGTTTAAATATTAAAAACTGACTGATTATTTCAAGACTTACAAAAATCATATTCGAACCATTCAAAAACTGAAAATGAATATCACTTGAAGAGTCAGTGTTTTTTATCCGTCACTAGTAAATTGATAGAGTAATTATTCGTCTATGCCATGATGACAACCATCATTTTCTAAGTCATTCCGCTGTCAGACTATCACAAAAATGACTACAGTCATCATTATTTTGGACAGAGATTATTTTAGTTCTATTAATTAAAGTCTCTAATACTCAGAACGAATTCATATAACTGATCGCTATATTGATTTCTCTAAAAGCGATGAGTCTGAATTAATGTCTTAAATACATTTCATAAAAAGAATATTTACTATAGGTTCTTCATTTAGTTCATCAATATTTAAAAAATGGTAATCAATGTACTGATTTATATGTAATGCTGGAAGTAAAATAAATTGAAAAATAAAAAATTATTTCAATCTAAATTATGTAAACACATATTTCTCGCCTATCTTAATTGTTTAATGTGGCTGAGCTTTATATAAAAATTTGATACATCAAACAAAATGATACAAAGAATGGTGCATTTATAATACAAAAAATATGTAAAAGAAATAAAATACTGTTACAGGTTTGTTTTTTTGGCAAGAAAAATTATTCTTCATTTAGAAAATGCATATGATGAATGACATTAATAGAAGCATTACATTAAAGAGAGCTTGTGTACTCTGAATAATTCTTAACATTTAGAATAAGTGCCTTAGATCATAACTCTGACCACGAAAACAAACAAATTAGAAAAATGATTACGACTAAATCTTCGATCAGAAAACAACATGATAGGATAAATATAATATGCCACAAGTATTGACATATTACTTCCACTCCATAGTGTAGAGATCAATTCATATCTGTTCGAATTGCCTAATATGGACCATTCAATCATTGATATTTTGAATTCTTCTGGTAGTCTAAATTACTTGAACTTTTTCGTATGATTGAATGACAACAACAGACCTAACATTGGTCTTTGTAATTTGAAAATATCAAAGAAATGTAGCATTAATACCGAGTGAGTTTTGGTGAATTATTCCATCAAAAAAGAAATTGATTTTAATTCTTGTTATATTTGTATCAATATATATTGTTACAATGATTGTATTGAATTCATTTTTAACTGATAAAGCTTGATTTCAACAACTAATTTATTCATACACAAAAATTTGATTTATTCCTTAAATATTGTACGTATAAATCTAATGGGAAAAAATTTTGAATAGCATCTATGGATTCATGAGGAGACTCAAAAATTTTTAATGTTTCAATTTTTGAACAATTATATCTTCCTTGTTGATTATCTCGAGCAATTATTGCGAATAATAGATCATTACGAATAGCAAGTTCGATTAGACATGGAAGACAAGCACGAAAAAGAAGTTGTTCAACATAATCCATGTGAACGTCATATAAAATACGTGTAGTTAAATGAGAAAACACAAGTTTTTTTGTTGTTGTTGAAGTTGATTAGATATTTCGAGTGTTCTAAGATGAGGTAGAGCTTGAGTGACATGTTCAAAGAAAACACTTTCGAACGGTTTAACATCATCAAAAAGTAATAACATGGTAATCAATGAGATTGTGTTATTGATATTGAAGAGTGGAAATCGAGTTTGAAATAAAGTCAATACGAGTACCAATGAATGGCAGTGAATAGATTTGACATTGACTATATTGATTATATTGAAATAGTGGAGTACACAATCCACAGTTTGTTGTTGTTTGACAAAACTTTGACGAATACTGTCAATTTCTATAGGAGGAGCACCTTTTAATCAAGAACGAAAATAAAGCATATATGAAACAATATCTTCGTCTATATCAAATCCATCAATAAAATGATTCGGACTCTTTCTTATAACATCAACAGCTAGTAATAATGTTAAATGTTCAACATTTGATAAGCGTTGTAAAAGAGGAGGAATACATGCTTGATAGCAAGAATCATTACGATAGATTGTCATTGTCAATATTTTTAAATTAGGACAGTATATCTAAATAAACTCAGTTTAAATGAAATTTCAAATTGAGGAACAATACATACCGATACTATTTTAGACATAATATCAACATCATCTATACGAATTTCTGCAATACTTACAGAGAATAAGTAAAGTTGTATTCCTAATTGACACAATAAACGAATACAATGATCGAATCGACATAATGTTATACGAATATGAATCAATCGAGATGAATGAGCAAAGAACAATCTGTCATCATTGAGTGCATCTGGTAAAATAGCGTCATCATCAAGTTCGAATGAGGCAATAGAACACATGAGTAGTGAACAATGCAAAACGAATAAGATGCGACCACCTTCAGTTTTATCAAAATAAAGTAATTGAAGGATAATTGAAAACAACAGTATACGGTTGGGGGCATTGTTAATGAGATTACCTGAGATATATAGATATCAGTATTAAAAAATAGAAAAAATCGATCTAGTCTTGTACTATATGATTAAATTCAAGTGCCAAGAAAGGTTTCTTATCTTTTTCGCAAATATCATTTTTTGTCGAAAAACTTTTACTACAGAAACTGAATACGAAATGACATTTTTAAATAATGAATTGATATACATTTATTTTAATGTTCAATTCATCATTCAAAATGTCTTTTTTCTTCTTCTATTTTTGAGTTCTTTCGAAGAATGACAACAAAAACTATTAGTAATGAATTACCTAATGTACAAGGAGTGCTTGTTTCAAAGCATCGTTTACCAAACATTATTTTCAAATGTGTCAAATTCGGAAGAGTTCTATCACGGTTTCCGTTAGCAAAATTGACAATACGTAATATATGTTGAAGGCTAAGTGTCAATGATTGAATATTATAATAAATACGAGGTATAAGGTGTGAATAAAATCTTTGAATAAGTAGTTCATAAGGTGAATGAGTAAAGACGAAGATTAAATCGATCGATTGACATTTAGCAAGTGCAAGTTGTTCCAAATGATTATTTCCAATACCAATTATAGAACAAAGTAGTTCGGTTCGATATTGTATTTTATGCATAATAGTTAAGATCATCTCATCGGACAAATCAAGTAATTCGATCATATTTTCTGCTAAAAAGAAAATATAAAATCCATTAAATAGTTACCTAAATACATACTTGTGTTTGATGGGCATTGCCTAAATTAGAGCCAATCATCAAAGAACCTTCAAACAATGTTGTGGTGTTCAAAAGATCAATAATGTACATTAGCCTATGGTTACATGTTGATGAGCCTTGAAATTTATAGCAAATACACTACCATGGACGCCATCTAGTTTGAGTGCATACATTGGAAGACATATTTACCTATGTATTTTATTTCCACGAAAAGTGAGTTTCTCTTGAAACCGACAATTGAACTAAAGTTATCGCTAAACTCATCGGTTGGTTTTAGTCCGTCAGAAAAATTTAGTATTATAAAAAATTTCTATTGCTGATGTTCTTTATAAGCAGCAAATTTGAGATTGTAAAGAGAGGGTGTGGTTAAGGGCCTTATATTTCTCGACACGCACACACCCAAACCAACATCCTCAGTCAAAACCTTGACCGACACTTTTCATGTGAAAATGGAAGGATATTTAGTTATAATGTAAAAAAAAATGTTATCGTCGGACGACATTCACAAAGATGCATGAAAATCATGTGAAGTTTAGGATGTAAACAAACCGCACAGCATAATACACAATGTTCATACTCTTCACATTCTTATTCAGCGTTAAGTCAGTAAACCTTTTTCATATGTGTTATTCTATGACAATGGGCAAACGTGTACGTGGAATGCTTTGGTTGAGTTTTGAGTAACAATTTATCTCGAATAATAGGATAGATCTGGCGCATTTTCTTTGGTTTCGCGTGGATTATTTGTTTTGGTTGCCACCAGTACGATAAGCCTCTTCGAAGTTCATATATTTCTCTCTCTGTATTTTCGACTTCCGCTATTTGTTTGAAGGCAATTTTGCGTAACTTCTTACATATGTTTTGATAAATTATATCTAGTATAGATCCATCTTGATTTAATTTGTCTAGTGTGAGTCGATATATTAACGCTTGCTTTTGACATCGTTCAGAATATGAAAATTCGGTGCCCCATGAAATGTAAAAATGCAGGAACAACGTGTAGTCATATGGTTCTTCTATTCGTTCTAGTCTTTGAATTATTTCTATTAACTTTTGATGTTTTTCTTCTAGTTTCAATTTGAATTCCAATATCTCTTCTATCAAGAGTTGACGTATTTTCGCTTGCACGAGTTCATGTTCAAATATATCATGTAATATCGATCGATACGTTTCTAACGGTACACAACTCGACTCGTGAGTATATATTTCGACTAGTGTACGTTGATAGATTACACTTTGTAAGCATTCATAAACGTTTCTTACAATCCGTGCATATATTGGTTTCATAAGCTCACTTAAGGATGACTTCACGCTATCGTACGAAGAGTAACTTTGGAACAAAGTCGATTGGCGAGTTGGCCAAAATTCTAAAGTAGAACGATGATAGAGCCGGAAAGAATAGAGGACAGTCAAGAATAACGTTGACATCATGGTGATAATAACGACCGATATAATCGTTATCTCGTCACTCGTGTAGAAACGACGAATGTTACATCCTTCCAAAAAAGTAGTGATCTAAACTTCTATTCTAGACTAAATCTGTTTGCAATTGCAGTGGCAGCGCTCGTTGTATTTTATAAGTTTCAAGAATGTCTGATTTGCACACAAAACAAAAGTTTATACAAATCAACGAATTCTAAGGTGGCTGATAAAGTTTATGCTCAGTATTTGTCTTTGTTGAACATGCTTATTAAAGCGCATGTATCTTGGATACCAGAGAAGTTTATTCTTTTCATCAGAATTAATGTCCTCACTGTCAGGTACGAATGATTTCTTCCTCATTTCTTTTGCTGTTCTCCGTGTAAGTGTCTTGAGAGATTCCTCGTGTAAAGGGCTCCACAGGGCAAAGCAGTACTCAGCAATTTTTTGGGCATGATGACGGAGTCGAGGCCCGAAATAATCATAAGCACTAAGAACGAACATCATGAGCCAATAGATTCGATCGATAACTTCAGAGTTTTTCAAATCATATTCTTCCCTTGCTATAGCAATAGCAAATCGTACAGCCATGTCTCGTATATTCGATTCCCTCACGACCGACCGATATTCATGAAATTCAGTATCAAATATTATGTGAGAAAAAAAGGCTGAATCAACTTCGTCAAGAGTTGGATTTGGTTGAGGTCCAATGGCAAGAAAATCCAAAAGAGCGACGATTCCCACAATATTATTGTGCTTAGGTAAATCAGTGAATATTTGTTGAACTGATTGAAATGAAAGTGATTCAATAGCCAATAAAAAATTTTTGTATTGAACATGTGGATCGAGTATATAACATCCATTTTCATCGCAGACTGACTGAAAACTATTCGCAGCTGAAACCAGGGCCGACAAGTATGGTATCGCCTCGATCTGTTTCTGTTCCAGATTTAGAAGTTCACCTGAAGCAAAACGAAATACTC